AAACCAATCCAACAAGCACAAGATCACACAAATCACAAGGACAGAGTCCAAGGGCGAGAGGTTTTAGACAGTAAATGCCAATGAAATGGAGCTTCGCACACAGCTAGGCCTACCAATACAGTGGGGTTCCATTCTACATACTGGGCTTTTATACATGCTGGGTGTAAATTAAGGAACAAATGAAATGATCATATCCATGAATCTGCACTCCTTTCCGCTCAATAACTGTCCCCCTCTCCGTCCATCTCCAGGCAACATTGGAGCTCCTGCCGAGCGCTCCACAACCCAACACCGAGGCCCAACTCTGGTCTTGAGTCCTGGTCCTCTGTGCCTTGTATAGTCCTGATTCCTGCTGAGCACCTGTTTGGTATACGGCTCCTCGAACATCACCGTCTGAGGATACACAGAATGCCTGCAATATCCCAGCTCCACAATCCCTAAACATCACTCCTTTGTGTCAGGCACAAGGTTGTCACCTTGGCGCCGTCAACCATTCCTATCCGTCAAGCTCCGCAACTGACTCATCCAAGTGGCACACACAGGGCAACTATCCCTGTCTGTCGAACATTGATTTGATTCACTGATCATCCCTGGCAGTCTCGGCAGTCAACCATCAAGATCATAATCCGGCATCTCCAAATCTGATCGGCATTTGATGGTATCACTGATTCGAACTCCAGCACCCTGTGATTCCAACAATATTTGATTGAGGTTGACATTTGCAAGTAAACCAGCTGGATTGGGTCATTTAGACTTTCTAGCATTCGGCAGACCTCCCTGAGAAGAACATCCAACTCATTTCATTGAGATGTCAGACCAGTTCCAGCCAACAGACGCCCCTGCCAACGACGACTTCCAACTATGAGAACTCCGGCTTTATCGGTCCTTCGGATGTATCGGATCAAAGGCTCGGTCAAGTCCACTTAGGTTTTGACCGAGGTTCGAAAGTCGATTCTCGCCGTTGTCAATTCTCTGGCCAGCAGCTCTGATAGCCCTAACCCTCTAGGATCAATAATGCACCTGCTCTGGACCACGGTGATTGGTATAGGCATGAAAATGCTGATTTGGTATGTTTTAACACCGAAAATTCCACAGGCTTATCAGTGGTGGGCTCGAAGGTTTTGTTGGTAGCTTGGGAGGAGAATCGTTCCATCGCTGCTGCTTTATAGCAGTGAGGTTTACTCGATTCGATATTTGGAAACGGCGCCGATGGAGCTTGGAGGCCCCGAAACCCGACGCGCCGACGGGATTGATGCCATTCGGCTGTATGGGCGCTGCAATATTGATATTTTACCTAGTTACTTGAAACTTCTCTTAGGGATATCTATTGCCGGAGACCCGAGGGGAAGGATTCACATTGCCTGAGAACAGAGTCGGCAAAATAATCCATTCAGACGCACCCAATTGCAACGCGATCCTGATTTTGATAATCGGATGGATCTTCGTCGTCGTCGCCGAGCCTTGTGAAGTTGTCAAATATCCACATACGTGGATTCAATCTGCGGCGTTGCGAGTCGCGTTTAGATGCACCCAGCCAATATTCCGTTTTTCCAGCCACGAACTCTGCAGCATTTTGTACCACAGCGGCACGTATTAGCCCCAGGCCTGGCTTCTACGGGCCAAGTTTTTGAAGTCACTGTTCAATCGGGGAAGGATAATAATCGCACGGGCTTCAAGAAGAGGTTATCTCGGGCTCTCGGAATGTTTGATACCTCCCACAAGCACGCCTCCCCATGCGAATAAATAAATAACTCCGAATCACCCACCGACCTCGCATCTTCCTCGCTCAGCCCCAGATCCCCATCCCCATTCACCTTCGCGGCATCACGATCCGGGAAGAATGGATATTCCTCAATATCAGAGATCGTCCCGTTCTCAGGCAGCGTCCTGGTGTAATACCCGCGGACGAGAGTTGGGATCGTCGTGGAGCAGTGCTGTTGTTCAAGTAAGAAAAGTGGGAGATGGGAAGGAGGGGAGGAGGAAGGAACGTACCCCAGGCCCATCTTGGACGATAATCCGCGACGACTCGGGCATGAGAGAGTTGATGCGCAGTCTGCTTTGGATACGTGTGATTCTAAGAAAAGTCAATACATCTCATCCTTGATTCGTCATGTAGCAATTGCCAATTGCAACGGATGGGTCCATCTATACTATGACTATGACATTCATCATCAGCACGGTTCAAAACGAAGAAATTCAACAAACGCACCGTATTGCTGAAATCAACATCGGCCACTCCAAACTCGCATTCCACGGCCCCGGGTGTGGAGAAGGCGGGGTGCGTGCAGGTGCGTTTGTCGCTGGGTTTTCAGCCGTGGATCTAAGGACTCCAGGTAAGTAGTAAGTAAGTACGTACGCATACATAGCCAGCGGGAAGGGATGACGCACCTTTCTAGTGAGCGCAGTGATAGTCTCACTCTGCCCGATCTTCCACCCGCTGCGGATGCTGCACGATGTGGATCGGGAAAAGTCGGGGAGGACGCTGACGCAGGTGCAGATTTCCTCTTTGGATAGCTGAATTAACGATGAGATGCAAGCATGAACTATTATGTAGTATGTATGAGATTGAATACGTATTACGCACCGTCAATGGTCCCGCAGTTGACCCCGCGAACGACGAGGGAGCCACTGACACACGCGCAGACGGTTTCTGGGGAACGAGAGGTGCGAGGGACGAGGCATTCGATGAGAGCCCATGGGCGATGACGGCCAGAGCAGAGATAGTGAGGAAGAACATTCCGGACGAATTTGAATGAATGTAGGGAGAGAACGTTGTCGGTGCGCTACCGTGGTGGGTTTGTGGGGGAAATTTGAGCTGGGAGCTCTAAGTTCTTTTGCGCTTAAAAGAAAGCGCGAGACAGGACGCGATCGGAGTGTGGAGCGATAAGGGCAATCAGAAGTATGAGACGCCCTGGGCGGGGTGGAATTTTCGTCAGAGAAGGTTTCAATGCCAGAGAAGGAGAGTTGGGGCTCATCGAGTGATGCGCCGTCATGGAGATGAGACCCATCGCCATGAGCTTCGGGCTGAGAGCGCAAGTCTTGGTGGATCGCGGATGGGAAGACGGACGTCGGGATCAAAAGAGGTCGGGATTACTAAGCTGAGCCACCCTTGCCTGGACCATCGATTTTTCCTGTTTTCACTGGGTTTCCTTGGAATGTGAGGGCATCCTCAAACACCGGAGACTTGTGAAAGCTTGGAATGGAACTCTGTGCCCTGGAGTCTGGACCCCTCCCTGGTTTAGGCGCGATTCTCTGACGATACCAGTACTAAACGCGCGGCGCCGCCTTGTGCATTGACAGCCACTGGCGCTCGTCGACGTCCTCGAGATCAACCTGAAGAATCTGGGAGGCTCTGGAATCGTGTCTCGCTTAGATCTGCTGACCATTGTCCTCGGGCCACACTCGGGAGTCGGTAGCCACCCAAAATGCTTCCGTGCCCGTGCTCTATTGTGCGCTGTTTGCAGGCTCACGCACAATGGCGCAGATTTTAGTCGCTTAACGGCCAAATCCCAAAATGGCAAACGCTCTTGGACGAACTTTGGCATTGTTCGTCATGAGCAAGTATAAAGGACTGCGGTCTGCTCGACATCCCCCACACTGCACTCACCGACGTCCACCATGTCTGCTTCACCCATCACCTTCCAATACGACGGCGCCGACGAGTTGGACCTCGGCTGCCCACACTCCCCCACCAGCTCCCTCCGCGCCGTCTTTGTCCGTTCTAGGCCAACGTCGATGGCCGTCTCCGACGTCGACCCCACCGAGTTCATCAACTTCCCCACCGAGCTCTCTGCCTATGGCATGGCTCCAGTCTCCGTCCCCCGCATCGACCCCGCGCCTCCCGTCAAGTTGAGGAAGAAGAAACCCAGTGCCGACACCGCCTCGGTGCGCACGATGTTGACTACCCGCACTGCTCCCATCCGAGCTGTCCGTCGACCCGTCGTCGTCGTCGATGACGATGATGATGATGTCGAGAACGTGCCACCGACCAGGCAAGACAAGCCTCTGCCCCGCCGCCGTGGTACCTGGGACGGTATCCGTGGGCGCGTGTCGGGCATCTTCACTCGCAAGCCCTCTTCTGTCAAGCAAGGCGTTTCAGCCCCCGCTCCCTCCCCCATCGACGACAAGTCCACCCCCGCTCCCATGATCATCCCTACCCCGCGCCACACAGCGAGCAAGTTCTCCCTCCGCTCACACGCCAACACAGTCGGCAAGGCGGCACCTGTATCGTACACTGTCACCAAGGCTGAGACCCCCGCCCAGCGCAAGAAACGCGTCCGCCGCTCGAGGTCGTTCTCTGGCTTCACCAACATGGGCCGGGGCGACGAGTCGGATGATGACCTTGACGAGGCGACTCTCGAGGCTACGCGCTCTGCGGCGGGGTTCGGGTGTCTTTGGCGTTATGAGGAGGAGGAGGAGGATCAGACTGGCGAGGGCGTTGGTGGAGATGAGTTTGAGGCGACGGGGCTTTTGGAGCGTGGGGTCGAGTTTTGAGTTTCGGTTTCTTGTTTTGGGTTTCTCTCTTTGGTGCGTCTTCTTTCTTATCATTCGATCTTCGTCGCTTACGAGCCTTGTAGATTTTCTTTCTGCTTTTCATTGCGCTACACCGGTGTCCTCTCATCTCATTCTCATCACCTACCCGCCGCGCCATCCTCCTTCTTTACCCCGCTCTACTTATGCCCCATGCCATATGATACATGCATGTCCGCGCTACCTCTCTTTCTTCCTCTACCTACCTCGCGCCACCCCCGACCTATCTTCACTCCGCTCTTGTCTTTGTTGTACTTCCTCAGCTGCTTCATTTATTCAACATTTTCTTGCAATCCGTTTTCACAATGCGGTGTTCTGAGATCGTCATATGATCTTTGTGAATCTCGCGTCTACTTCCACCAAGACCAGCCCGCCTGTATTCTTGCCAGAACATTCGAGTACTTGGACCAATCAACCGACGGTGCAAGGTACAGCTATGTGGTAAGACCTAGTTGGTACCGCATACTAATTCTTGACTAGTATATCGGTTCAGTACACCCGCTTGTCATTGTGCCTTTGCGCTCTCTTTCGCGGGAGAGCAGGGTTCGACTCCCTGGTCGAGAGTTTCTTTTTGCTCATCCGTTTAACTCATGAATCCCTTTACCTATCCTCGGTTGTTTCGTCCACGCAGAGTCCTCCCATTCCATCCCCATCCTCTCCCCTTTCTTCCTCATTCAATTCCGCTTGACCAACCGCCGTGGCAAAATGAACAAACCACGATCTCACGGAACCAACGATGACGGAGTGATCACGCGCCCAATGTCCATGGGGTGCTCCAGGAACCGCCTCTCATCGCTCAGATTTCTCTCCCACCAACCACCATGCCCCCTCCTCCCCCGGCTTTCCAGTTTGACGGCGACGTACTTTGCATTTGCTTCAACACTTGAAGATACAACTGAACTATCTAGGTGGCGATCGTCACGGGCGCGGGGTCTCGTCTCGACGGTAAGCTCCCAACGCCTCTTCTCTCGTTACCCTCAAACCTGAATTCAACAGGTGAAATCGGCAACGGCCGCGCAACAGCGATCCTCCTCGCGCGCCAAGGCGCCAAAGTCGCATTGGTGGACTACAACCTCGCCTGGGCTCGCGAGACAAAACGAATGATCGACGCAGAGGGAGGCGTTTCCGAAGTCGTTCAGTGTGATGTTACCAAGGAGAAAGAATGTGAGGCGGCGGTGAGGAGGGTTGTGGAGATGTGGGGTAAGGTGCATGTGCTTGTTAATATCGGTGAGTCTTCCTATTCTTCGTGCTGGGAACGAGCGCTGAGCACTGGGAAAGTTGGGGTGGGTGGGCCGCATGGGAATGTTACTGAAGTCGATTTGGAGGCTTGGGATCGGGATTTTCGGATTAACGTGCGTTCTATCTACTACTTGCTGTTTTCTGAGCTGACGTATAATTTTTTTCCCCCGGTACAGGTAACATCCATGGTCATGATGTCGCGCTACGCCATCCCCGAAATGAAAAAAGTCGGGCGGGGCGCGATCGTCAACATGTCGTCCGTTTCTGGGCGTGAGTCGTCGTCATTCTGCTTTCCCTGGTCACTTACCAAGCAAGGACACAGTATTGGGTGGTAATCCCGGCGTGTTATACCCCGTCAGCAAGGGCGCTATTATCCAGCTCACCCGCGCTATGGCGGCACATCATGGACCTGATAATATTCGGTGAGTGCCCATATCACGATTCACCGCCGTCTTTCAAAGTTGAACGTTGAACTCGTTTAGCGTCAACTGCGTCGCCCCAGGGATGGTCTACGTACGTCTCTCTAAACCCATCCTGTTTCCAAAGTTGACCTTTTTTTTCGAACAGACACCCATGGTCCGCGGTCGTGGCATGACAGATGAACTGCGCCAAAAGAGGATCAACCAGAATCTTCTGCGTCAAGAGGGCACGGGGTGGGACGTTGGCTACGCGATCCTATTCCTCGTCTCACGCGAAGCGCGATGGATCACTGGAGTCATATTCCCCGTCGACGGTGGGACGACGGCGGGGAACCCGAATCGGCCGGCGTTGGGGGAGGATACGCTGGCGAAGGAGAGCTTGGGTAACGCGGAGGAAGGTGAAAGTGCAAACAACTGAGTGTATTCACGTAAAGGATGTATATATGAGAAATTGAATTCAAAGATGGAACAAAATCGATTTGAGAATCCAACTTGAGACCTGAGGCTTCAAGTGTTGAACTCATCGTGCTCCAACCACGCCGTGCGACAAGGAGTCTTCTTTGGATATTTGACTTGAATGTACCTACTCTAGATGACCGACCACCTTGCGCCCGTTCGGACTGTCTGATTTCTGGCTCGAATCCTCACCGGCACCTCCCCGAGCCCAAACGTCGTCCCATATACTCACACCCTCCATGGTCGTAATTCCATCCAGGGTACTCGTATATATCTACCAGGTAGATGCACACTTCTTTGGATTGGTTTACACATATGGAGAGAGAAATTTATACATCCGTCGAACATTCAACACTCCACCAATCTCAACACCCCTACCCCTCCTTCTCCTCCCCATCATCCCCAGCCTCCCCATGGCCTCCCTCCGCCCTCTCCGTATAAAACGCCCTCATCTCCTTACTCATCCCCCCCCTATCCTTTCGTTCCACATACACAGGCAGGGGCCTCACCCCCCTCACCATCCTCCCAAACTGCCTAAACCGCTGCTTCACTCTATCATCCCACGCCATCCGCACGCCCGGCTGGCGCAGCTCCCAATTACTCAACCGCCCACACAGATCGTCGAGTTTCTGGATGGCCTCGCCGATGGTCGGGCGCTTGGCCGGGTCGGGGAGCGTCATTTCGTCGATCAGGGGTTGAAGGAAGAGGAGAGGCGGGTGGGGGGTGGGTGTCTGCAAGCCAAGTTCAGACTGCTCTAATCACAGCTGAGGAGAGGAGATAGACTTACCCATTCACGATGCTGGAGAGGCGTCACATAGAGAAAGTCCTCCTTGATCATGTTGCCCAGAAAATAAACGTCGGTCGGGAAGGGATTACACTCGAACGGGGACCCGTCTTGGTGTTCTGGAGGAGATTGGTCGCCGCCGAGGATGACATCTTCGAGAGGCGGGCCGTGCGCAGGATCATATTGGCGAGACAGACCGTAGTCAATGGCATAGTAGCGAGGCCAGCATTCGGTACGCGTGATTGTGCGAGCGATCGTTCGGTATTTGCGGCCATAGTGTGTGATGACGGGATGAAAGCCGTCGGGGTAGAGGCGCGTGGGATCTTGGACGAAATTGAGGGAGTTGCAATCGCTGTTAGAAGAATTAGTACGGATCGAGAGAGGGAGAGCAAGACGCACCGATGCGCTATAAAGTGTTCGTGCATATATTCAATGCTCTGCGAGATTGTGAGAATGGGCGAGGAGAGTATACATGATACTCACCTCGAAAGTCTGCTTCAGACAGTCCACGACCTCGCCTACAGTGTCAAACGCTGGATCGTCGATACGGACGCAGCGGACCATAACAAGAATGTGCCGGTCAGAATCAAGTGGATCGTCTAGAATATCGAGAATCGGGATACTGTGGTTTCTGGAGTGTCCAGCGTGCGGTGGAGAGGCTAGCAAACGCGCAATGCCGACTTCTTCTGGGTGTTCAGCTGTGGAGACTGACTTGAGGAGGACCTGGCTGCCGTCCGAGATGCGCTGAGCGTCCATGATAGAGCGACGCTGCGAGGGTATTCGAAAAGTCATTGAGAAACAACTGGGCGGGCTCACAGCGTGCTTTGCTCCATACTCGCTCAGGTCGCGGCCACGCAGCTCCTTCAGTTTCATGCCGGGATAGAACTTGGGTCGCAGGCGGTACCCGCTCTTCTCCAGAAAGTCACGACGGAGAAGCCAGTCCCGTTCGTATGTAACCTCGGGGCGGTCGTCTACGGCAGAGCGACGAAGCATGGTGGTAGCGGAGAAAGGGGCGTTGATCTCTGACTGCCGAACTACTTCCGAGTGAATACCTTCTTTCGTCTACACTAGGATTGCCTTACTTACAATGAAATTAAAGAATATATATCTTCACTCGACGTCCGCACTGGCATCATCCACCGAAACCGGGGGCACCCCCAACGCACTCGGCCTCCTCCCTCGTCCAGGGGAATGCCCAACCCCAAGCCCTAGCATATACACGCCCGAAATCGTGCGCTGCCTGGGCCTCACCTCTTCCACCTGCTGCACCGGCGCAACATACGCCGGCATCGCCACCCTCAGCCCAAGACCCTCAAGAGGGCCAAGCCTAGCTGCAGACGTCGAATGCCTCAACCGCGGACTCGTCATGACGCTCCCAAACGTGGGCGTAAACGCGTCAGGCGAAGGCGTCCCGCTCCTTAACCACGAACCCCAACCGCCCTCCTTCTCTCTCTCCTTCATCCGCTGCTGCTGCTCATCCACAACGGCCTCCGCGGGCGGTGCATAAACCACCCTCTTCACCGCCCCAATATCATGCTCCACATCCTCCAGCTTCCTCATAAATCCAGCATGCGCCTGACCATCCCGCTCTACAAACGCAGCCACCTGCGCACGCACCTCCTTCTCCGCCTCACCCTCTTCTTTTTCCTTTTCTCCGCCTTCTGGAGAGAGCCCAACGAGCGTCTCCCACCCACGTGCCAGCACCCGCTCATCCGCAACACGAATCTCAAGCTCCACCCGTGCATCCTCCGTATAATCATGAAGACGCTCCACCGCCCCTCGTAGCGCCAAATCTTTATCTTTCCCACCGCCAGCGAGTGCAGTGCGGAGGTCCTCAAGCGCGCGGTGGCACGCGAGGAAGGCGCGTTGGAGAGACGCGTACCGTTGTCGGGCAGCGGCGAGGTCCGCGAGGAGGGGGTTCGTCGGGGTATCTGGATCAGCGACGGGGAAGACAATGCCGTTGCTCGAGGCCAGCGGTTGGGTGGCACTACCCGGGAAGACAACACCGTTGCTCGGGGCCTGTGGTTCCTCGAGTTTGGGCTCCCCAGCAGAGAAACCACTCTCAGGCGATGGAAACACCACCGAGGCTACTGCAGCCTGTGGCGTAGCAGACGCTGAGATGGGCAAGACGACACTGTCGGTCGTGGGCTCCCCAGCAGGGAAACCACCATCGGTGGATGGAAACACCACCGAGGCCACGGCAGCAGAGGATGCAGTAGATTCATCTGGAACAGCGGCACTGAGCGCTGAGACAGGGAAGACGACACTATCGGTCGTAGGAGATGCGGGGGTGGCTGCTGCTTCGTCAGAGGCTGGCAATTGGAAGGTCGACGTGCCGTCATCCAGAGCAGTTTCGAGCGCAGGTGATGGCGCTCCCTCATCATCTACCGTGGCGCCTTCATCCTCGAGCGCATCTTCCATTTCCTCCTCCTCCTCCTCAAAGTCCTCCAAAAGCCGACTAGGCGGCAACCGCGGTGACGGCTGGTGTACCTCCAGCTCAGCCATCGGCGTAATCGGTGTATCGTCCACAGAAGGGGAAGGAAGTGAAATTTGCGGTGTCGGAATAGCCAGCTCAGGAACTGGCTTGGGCGGCAGCGGCGGTGGAGGCGTAGAATTATCATCCACTTTCCCCTCCTGAGATTCTTCAGCTTTCTCAGCCTCCGCCT